GCACCCGATCAAGTTTTTCAAAAGTTGGTATAGATCTGTTGTTGGCCCAGGTGTATTGGCGCCCCGACAGAGAGAGTTCCCGCAAGTCGAGGCTATCAATAACAGCGTTAAAAAGAAATGGCCATCTAGTGTCGAACCTGACATTGTTTTTCTCCTGCTGATATCGAAGAATATTGAAATCCCCCCCAAGTAGCATTGGGTGTGGATTTTCTCGAGACAATTTCTTTGAGAAAAGCCGATTTGAACTCATCTTGAGCGGCACCATAAACAGAAACCAAACTCCAAATGAAGTTATCGGCTTTATTTCGAAGGTTGAATTTGATGTTGTACTCCCCCTTCGACGTGGAAAGAAGTTCCAAGTAGGTGGAGTGTATACCTAACAGGATACCCCCAGACCTCCCGGAAGGCGGTAAAATATGCCATTCGTAATCTTTGCCACATGAAAAATGGTCTAGATCACGTGTAGGAAAGTCACGCCTACCACTCTCAGAGATTGCCACAAAGTCAAGGGCATAATCCCTAACACAATCAGAAATATGTTTATGTTTAGCCAAGTCACCAAGACCTCTGCTATTCCAAAACATTCCTTTCATGATGAACCTTTTTTGCATTTGGAGTCTTTTGCCTTCTTATTTGAGCGTCCCTTTTTTTTACCTGAATTAGACTTGTTCTTACGTACCGACGCAACAAGCTCACATAGCATAGTGTCGCGCGTGGTATCTTCTAAGTCTACCTCAGTTGCATCTTTGACCAGATGAGAGAGAAGTCTGCCTTCATGATTGGCATCCGACTCCTCCTCTTCCTCATCTGACGCTAAGGGATCCACAAGAATATGCGACTTAGGAGCAACCGTAAGCCGGTCAAACTCCACTTGCTTAAGAGCCTTAACAGACAAGTCAACTGCTGATTCATTTCTACCTAGTGAAATACCAAGACTAGTAATGTTTGAAGAGACTTTGGCATTATCAAAAGAGAGAAAGGATTTGGTAGAAGACGTACCATCAAAGTCGAGATTCCGCGAGGCAGTTCTACGCATGGCCTTCAGCATGGAGTCCTCGTCCGTAGCGGAAGCCCCATCAGTGCCAACTGGATGACGCCCACTACATCTGAGATGTGTTGTCGTCGTCTCGGTTTGAGCCAGCGTCCCAGAGGCCCTGAATGGTGGAGTAGAGGGCTCCGGCATAAGTGAAGCGGACCGGGAGGGCGGCAG